ACAAATTCATCATATCCCACCTCCTGCAAATGCATCAGATCTCACCAGTTTGCTGGCATCTTTCCTTACCGATTTTAAATCCTTAGTTACTCCACTCATATCACTCCTCACAAATCTCGTATCTCACCTCATCCCTCCTTTAAAAAATCCTTAATGACTCACATCCCAAAACCCATATTCATTCTCCTTTGGAATGCGAATAGTGTTAGAAATCACGTTGACGAACTGACAGCTTTATTACTGGACAAGAACATCGACGTGGCAGTAATTACGGAGACACGACTGACCAGAAAACAGCATTTAAAAATACATCAATACATAACATACCGTACTGACCATCCTGACTGTAAAGCACCTGCCGGTACTGCTGTTATTGTACACCACTCACTTTCTCATCTCAAGCGTCCATCACCGACACAAGATTTCCTACAATCAACCGCTATCGTAATCAAAACCTTCTCCTTTTCCGTCACCATACCATCAGCATATTGCCCTCCTAACAGATCCATATCCAATATCCAGTTTAGTTCTCTTCTCAACTCCTAAGGACATCATTTTATCCTGGGTGGAAATTTAAACGCCAATCACCATCAATGGGGTTCTAGAACCACGAACTCTCGTGGCAGAACATTGTTACCTGGACTCAATTCCCAACGGTTCAGTATCCTTCCTCCTAACTCACCTACCTACTGGCCCACAGATCCTAACCGCAATCCCGATATCCTTGATTTTTTCATCCACAGTGGCTTATGTCCCCTCAATCAATCCCTTACCGGTCTTGCCGAACTATCCTCAGATCATAGTCCATTCTTACTCCAATTATCTCTAGCTTCTATTCCTAAGTCTTCTCCACCGTCCTTCATCAAAGGTCCAGTTAACTGGAAACTCTTTCACCAAATCCTTTCCGATAAAATTGACCTCAGAATAACCTTTATAGAATCCCAAAATTTTCCTTCCCATCAGTTCGGATTTCGTTCATAACACTCCACACTCCAACAAGGACTCCGAGTGGTCGATCATATTTCCGCAGCATTGGAAGGCAAGCAATATTGCTCGGGGCATTTCTGGACATAGCTCAAGTTTTCGACCGGGTATGGCACGCTGGGCTTCTTTCCAAGCTGAAAACCCATCTTCCTCAGTCCTTATACCTTGTCCTCCGTTCCTACCTCTCAGATCGTACATTCCGAGTTCGCTACGGTAGTGAATTATCGAATTGCTATCCAATTGAGGCAGGTGTTCCTCAAGGTAGCGTATTGGGTCCCGTTCTTTACATCCTCTTTACCGCCGATATCCCTGTTCATCCCGATGCCTTCCTGGCAACTTTTGCTGATGACACCGCCATTCTATCATGCGACTCAGATCCTGATATAGCATCCTTAAACCTTCAAAGACACCTGTCCCTGATTGAGCACTAGTGTAATAAATGGCGTATTAAAGTAAACTAATCCAAATGCCAACACATCACCTTCACGCTCCGACGCAGCTCCTGTCCACCAGTACACTTTAATTCCATTCAGCTTCCTTTCTCAGACACAGTCCGGTACCTTGGCTTTCTCTTAGACAGACGACTAAGGTGGAACCCTCATACTAGACTTAAAAGACAGGAACTAAACTGACGATACGGACAACTATACCGGCTACTAAACAGAAAATCCAAACTTTCCATTGAAAACAAGTTACTGATCTACAAGACAATACTGAAACTTATCTGGACTTACGGACTTCCAATCCAAAGTCCTTCGAACAATAGTCAATGCTCCTTTCTATGTAACCAACAAAACCCTACACCATGGCCTTAATATCCCATTTGTCCTAGACCTTATCCCAGCAAAATTCTCCAAATTCCACCATAACCTTACCCATCATCCAAATCCCTTTGCACAATCTCTATCCAGCACCACCCATCCATATAATCCTCCAAGGAAGTTAAAACGGCAGTGGGCCCGCGATCTTTTATAGTTTGTAAATATTGGAGTTCTGGCAATGGCCAGATTTAAAGCTTTAAAGTTTAGCTAAACTTTAAAGCTTACGGCGAACAAATCATCAATGACATTAAAATAACAAAAATTCTATTTATTATATCAATGGCTGATTATGCATTGTACGATCCGCTTATTATGGGTTATACGGATATCATTTTTTAAACTGTTATGTTCCATTACAAAGTTTACTAAAATGGGATTAAGAGATTTGCATTGCCTGTCATAGATAGGTCAAAAGTTTTCACATTAATTGTAAATGGATACTGTACTGATATCACAAGGGAAAATTCATCAAATTATTCACTAACTCAAATTTCTAGAAGTTTACATGATGACTTTTTAGAATAAACGACGATAGATACCTAATTATTTAAATATAATATCAGATCTAGAGTTATTAAACTACAGTAAATGTATTTAAGGTTATAAACATATCCATGAAATATTTTTATATCTAACTTCTTATTTTACACAAGTATAATGAAATAGTATGAAATAATACACCTTGATTCGGTGGATTTTAAATAATTTTTTCAAACTGTCCATACATTCTTAGATTCATTTTTGACTTAGATAGGTTAGGTAGTTAATTACATAGATTAGCATTTTTTTCTTTTTTTCTCCTTTATTCAATTTTCAAATTCTTTCAAAAGTTATATTTAGTCTTTTTTCATAATTCCTAACAATAAGTGATAGTTAATTGTTAAAAATAAATGAAATTAAGGGTACTTTGGTCCGTACCCCACTAATTACAGGGGCTGCCAGACGCTGAAAGATCTCAGGGTTCAGCGCAATGCAAGAAATCGTCGTTCCACAGTAGCAGAGCCAGCGCAGGGACCTCCATGGATTCCCCTCCAATACGGCAAAGTCACAACCAAGGGGAACCACAGATCATCGCAGAACCTCCGCAACAACAAAATCAGACATCATCTAGCTCAGCACCCCAGAACCAGAAAACATGTACAGGTACGAGGAGAGGCATTACCCAACCGATACCTCCGGCTCTTCCCAATTATTTAATATAATTAATGGATTAAATAACCTAATCCAGCCCCTTATCATTCTTCTTCAACAACTGTCACAGATTACACAGGTCTGGTGCCCAAATTATGGCCCACAATAATTTAACAGTAGGCTCCTTGTCAGTTCTTCTATGGAATGCCAACGGACTGAAACAGCACACTACTGAACTCGACTTATACTTCCACGAAAAACTGATCGACGTAGCACTCATTACAGAAACACACCTGACATCTCAATCAAAAATTTACATTCAGGATTACATAATTTGATTATGTATATTTGATTATATACATAATCATCTCTGCCAATAACACCGACTTTGGAATTCAATTTCATCATAAGAAATGTTTTTTAAATGATCATTCCTTGTACATTTGATGTCACCAGCTGGCTTTAAGAAAAAATAAAACTTTTGTAGAAAATAATGTACTTGAAAATTGGTATTTTGTCCCCGATTTCAGTGTTTCGGTCCACTAGTGCGTTGTATCACGTTATGTGTGTAGGAGCCTTAATTTTTTTATTAAATGAATAATTCTTTTATTTATGGTATGTTGAGGCTGTGATTAACACCATCGTTCGGAGTTTTCTTTCAGTCAGTTTTTTATATGATATTTGATACTGCATGTTATTTTATTATTAACGAAGGAGGTAGTCCGGGGTGGCAGTCACAAATAGACTAAATAGTTACTATAAAACTATTTTATTAAAAGCCAAAGTTTCGACCCGACTTTACAGGTATTCTTCAGGGTTGTTGTCAGATTTGAATTCAGTGCAAAACTTTGAAAGCGACAGTTATTAAATAGCAAATAGTCTCTGAACATGTTTACTACTATCCGAGTGACAATATGAGACTGAAATGGACGGTAGCTCCTAGGTCCAAAATTATAGATACACTAATCAAGTAAAAAAATAATGTGAAAATAGCTCTAAAGGGATGATTTTTTTTTGTGATCGAGTATTGTTGTTATTGCAAAAAAAAAGTACATATAGGGGTCACATTAAGTATTCTGAACAGTTAATTGCTTGGACTTTGTTTTTTCCTTTGAGCTATAATTTAATATAAATCGTTATCACATTTCATTCAGATTTACTTTCTCAATAACACCGACTTTGGAATTAAATTTAATCATGAGAAAAGTTTTTGAAATAATCATTCCTTGTACATTTGATCACCAGCTATCTGGCTTCAAGAAGATATAAAACTTTTAGAGAAAATAAAATACTTGAAAATTGGTATTTTGTCCTCGATTACCACCATCGTTCGGAGTTTTCTTTCAGTCAGTATTTTATATGAGATTTGATGCTGCATGTTTTTTTATTATTAACAAGGGAGATGGTCCGCGGTGGCGGTCAAAAATAGACTAAATAGTGGAAAAACTATTTTATTAAAAGCCAAAGTTTCTATCCGACTTTGCAGGTATTTTTCAAAGTTCAGGTATTCTGTCTTCACAGTTTCGCACTGAATTTCAGTCTGACAACAACCGTGAAGAAGACCTGCAAAGTCGGGTGGAAACGTTGGCTTTTAATAAAATAGTTTTGCCACTATTAACCTATTTATGACCACCACCCCGGACCATTTCCTTCATTTATAATGCAACGGACAACTATTAAATATTGATTATTTTATTATTGGTTTTCTTCTTGTATTTCCCATCAGGCAATGAAGGAAAATAAGGTGAAAAATAATAATTATTTAATATGCAAATAAATAATAATTTCTTCTATTCTTAATAAATAGGATATTTTGTAAACATTTTCTTTCTTAATAATTTATTTCATCGATTGAATTATTTTCATACATTACGTACACCGTTTCTTTAATTTTTTTCTGATACTGTTTTTCTGATATTATAATTACTTAAAATGTTTTCAGATATATCTAAGAATATCATCGAAAGAACTATACTCAGCGTAGTCTACTTCCTTCTTACTTACAATGTTTCATTATTTTTTTGAAATATATAGTAAAGGAAAGTATAACAGTTTAATACTTACTTCTAATAAGTCCATAACCAATGACAGTAGCGGACGTTGAGTCTATGAGTGGCTCAGTATGCAGACATATCGGACGTATATAAGTACTGAAATCGACATTACTATCCAATTCGAAGAGGGCTATGTCATGATTTTTCTTACTTTTTTTGTACTTTGGGTATGTGGTTCTTTTGACTATATTCCTTTCAAGTATATGGACGTCGTCTGCAGTGGAATTGTAGTCCAAATCCCCCAATCTAGCCAATGTGGCATTACCTCTGAAATAAAATTACATTGTGACGAATAGTTTTTTATTTGATTTATCGTGATTAAATTACTTTGTCCTCCAAAAAGTGAAAACCTAAGTGCTCAATTAATATTTCCATTTTTTTGTTTTAATATAGCAGTAGGGTATAAATGCCGGTTCTACCCCACTTTAATCCCTCAATTTGCGGAGCACTTTTGGACTTTGGACCCTAGGCTATTCTTACCTTAACCACCTGTACACCACGTGACCAATATAATATATTTTGATTAATCTTAACCCTTAATCTTAATCCTTAATCCATAATGCTAATACTTAATCCTAATCCTTAATCCTAATTTGTATTTTTTCATTTTTAAGTTCGAAAGGTCCGAACTTGTCTGAACTGGTCCCATCTTGTCAACCTCAAGTAAATATAAAGTGTAACGACATAAATATAGACATATATTGTGACATTCTACGATATCATGTCTCAACTTGTCCCATCTTGTCTACCTCAAGTAAATATAAATATAAATTGTAACGACGAAAATATTTATTATTGCAAACGAATATAAATTATAACAATGAAATATACACATATATTATTACAAAGGAATATATACATATATGGTAACGACAAAAATATATATTATTGCAAAAGGAATATATACATATATGACAACGATGAAATATATATTATTACAAAATGAATATAAATATAAATTGTATTGACAAAAATATATATTATTGCAAACGAATATAAATTATAACAATGAAATATATACATATATTCTAATAATTTTACGATAATATATCATAAAATTCCTACTGTTAATAACAACGTCATCACCCCTCCCCTCCTCCCTCTTCTTCTCATCAACTTTTATATATTGTTTTTTCATAAATATCAAAACGTATTTAATAATCTAAGAATATACACCTCCAATATCACGAATATCGTAATAAATCGAAATTCGATTAATCGAAATTGAAACTAATATAATTTACGAATACTACACCTATAATAATCTAATAGTACACTCTATTATCAAAGAAATTTATAAATTTAATATACGTAATATTATTTTTATAACATATGTTATAAAGAAGGCCGTGGAGAGTATCAGGAACTTCGAATAATCTTAGACTCCAATATCAAAGAAAGTTTTATTAAATCGAAAATCAATGAACCGATCTTAATTTCTATTTCATTTTCAAATTCTACATCTATAATAACCTAATAGTATACTCTAATATCGACAAAAGAAATCATAATGTTAATATACGTAATATTATTTTCATAAAATATGTTTATTAATGATATGGAAGGCCGTGGAGAGTACAGCTGCGTTAGGCAACAAGTCTCTTCACGTTTGAACATGCATAGGCATGTAGGGAGACAAGCTCCACTGTGAAGGAAGCGGTAGGGTCGGAAGAGAGTGGTGGGAGGAAACCATCAGCCAATCAGATTCGAGGATTCTCTTCACGTGACCCTAGGTTGATATAATTTGTTTCATACCCCTCTTGGTTTGTCAAAAAACATGTTTTGACATAAGCCTCCTCACCACGTCAAGGTGGGGGTATTTCGAGGAGGTTTTTTTTTTTTTGTTTTTACATATTTTCAAACACACATACATTGGTTTACGGGTAAATCAATACCTCTCCAGTGACTAAATCACACACACACACACACACACGCACACTTTTGGTTTACGAGCGTTTATAGCCTCGCCAGTGACCGAATCATACACACTTTTGGTTTACAGATAAATCAATACCTCGCCAGTGACCAAATCATACACAATTTTGGTTATAGATAAATCAATACCTCGCCAGTGACTAAATCATACACACTTTTGGTTTACAGATAAATCAATACCTCGCCAGTGACCAAATCAAACACACACACACACACTTTTGGTTTACAGGTAAATCAATACCGTGCCAGTGACCAAAATGCAAAACAAAAAAAAAATCTGTTGAAAATAAGAAATTTCTTAATCATATTAACATAGAATAAATAACAAATTGAAACATTTTTTTAAAATATTTTTTAAATATATATTTTTTTTATTATCAAATTATAGAAAAACTAAACAAAAATTTGAAAATCAAATCGTAATTCGAATATACCCACTCTGCTAGTATATGCGAACGATAATATGAACACATTAATTTCAAGTCTCTATGAGTAATACATGGGACTATTTGTATACTTTGCATATTATCAATTCGAGGACATTTATATTCCTCAAGATTGATAATTTCACACGAGTGCAAAAATTTTAACAAAAATTCTTTTTTTTGAAGTCCTTTAACAAAAATATATTTATAATTTAAATCGATATTATGAAAAATCGATGATAAATTGTGATAGGAAACATCTCCTTCATCCCAACTTAGGAAATGATAATTTTTCGAAAGCCAGCGGTTCGTTTTCATGCTTTTAGCACTGGTAACAACCGGATGAGAAGATGGTTTGAAAATCCAATTGCTGGCTGCATTATATTTTAAATCAAAAATCGATAATTCTTTAACTATATAATTATTTCATCATCTACGAAGCATTGAAGTTCCACAACCGCACCGTTTGATGACATGATGAAAACTGAGAATAAATTACAATGAATCCTTTTACTTATACCCTTTTTCTTATAATACTCGTTAAAGGGTTGTACTCTACAACATTATCGTGTATGATGAGGCAGAAAGCAGTAGTTTCAGGCGGAAAAGGTTTGGAAGAATCGAATTCTAACCTCACATCGACCGGTCCGGACTTAATAGATTCCGATTGTTTAGAACAATCGATTACGATAATCGGTGCTTTTTCTTTAAAGTTTTTTAGGAGAAGGAGTGGCTCTGAAGGATATCTTCCAGGATAGTAAGAATTTTGAAAATTATTATACATGTGATATAGTATCGCGAATTGATTTTTATCTAAATCCACATTCAAATCGTCATAAGGGTACGATTTAGAATTTAAATATAGTTTTACGTTACTGATATTACAATGATCGAATTGACTAGCATCCTTTTCAATTTTATTAATTCGATCTGATGAGAACGCTAATACGATGTATCTTGGTTTCTCAATCTAATTTGAAGTTTTTACAGCCCAAACTTGTCTCTGTGTAGAGGGTAAGAGGGGGTAAACAAACAATTTCCATCTCCTGAATGCTACTGAAACGATTTTTCCGACTTTAGTCGGCGTAAAAGAGTCAATCGTGTAAATTCGTTCACTGATTCATAAGGCAATTTCCAACATAGCTTTGTTAATTCAATTTTTGCTTTCTCTGGATCTCCTATACGCTTAGATATGTAACTGTTTTAATCAGTCCGTGATCTCATGAGAATTAATTCTTGATTAACATTAACTATAATTTTCTGATAGTCTTCCGCGAACCCTAGTAATTGTGATAAGGGGATACATAAGTTAAAATAACCACCATCAGAGACTAAGCTATCAAGTGAATCGGATATAGGGCAGCATCAACCGTTATGTTCTATAGAGGATCCACCCATGAAGGAAACCATACTCTTTAGAGTACTAGTGATACTCGAATTACGGACTCTGTCTACTTCAACACCGCATAACTCATATCTGATTTCATCGAATAAATAGGCTAAAGCATTATTTGTTAATTTAGCCAATGTGGGTACCCTGCTACCATCTTCTTTTAAAAATCGTCCCTCGAAATAAAGAAAACGTTTAGATGGTAATGTGAAAATATCTTGATGCTGGACTAAGATTCTGATTTTATCACCTCAAAGTAGTTTTGTCAAAGCATATGGAAAATGGGAATGATATTCTATCGACTCGATTGAATCGGTAAATGCTACGGTCGAACCTAGATCTGTTATTTCTTCCATAGTACTTGATAACCTGCCAACCGAAGAAACTCAAAATTTTCATTCGTTAGAGATGTTACTCCACCGAGGTTATTGAAACGAATGAGCTTTGTTGTAATCCATCTCTTCTTTTATATACTTTTCCAAAGTCTAACCCCATATTTTAAAATTAAAAAAGAAAAAAAGTAGCAACTGCGAAAAGTTTATATTTTTTTATTATTGAATAAATTTATAATAGATTAGAGAGAAATAGTAAACATAAGTGTCCACAAATATAGGTTTCAGGATCTTGATATCTTTTACTAACGAAACTTATACGACAGTCTTTAAGATACTTCACCAAATCAGAAGGAGGACCTTTATTACCGGCGCTGTCAAAAAATTTCACATAATGACCATTTTTCATATAGCATACCCAATGTGTGCCTTTACCCTTAGCACTATCTAGATTCAAAATAGCTCTCTCACGAAACCAAGGCTTGGATGGTAAGTTATCTCTTGCGAAAACACCACGGAAATGAGGGATCTTGTACTTTTTAGCCAAATTTATAACATCGCTATCGCTTAAACTCATTTTTGGCAGGGACCCTAACATCTGTTTTGCTTTTTCACTAAACGTTCCTCCAATTTTTTTGGAGGGCGAATAACACGTATCTTCTTCTTTTCCTTTGTTTTAGCCATGACGATGTTAACAGTTCGATTGTCAGTAACAGAATGACTCAAAAGAGTGTTTTGTCGATCCTCCCTCTCACTCTCTCTCTCTCTCTCTTTACCCCCACCCCTCTATACATTTATATTTTTCTTGCTTTCCCAGCTGTTATGCTTTGAATCGAAACCCAACCACTTTACAAAAACTTTATCACCTTTCCGTTTCAAAATTTTTTCTACCAAATATACGTTAGGATATTTCACTTTATGGATTTCTTGCTCATAAAATCCTTAAGCCAGTAGGTTACCGGAATGGTTTTCCTCACTTGATCGGTCTTGTGTCGACCACGAGGGCCGATATCCCTTGGTGAAATCGACTTTATATTTTGAAATTCTCACAAAATCACCGACTTGATATTTTGGTGGTTTACGATTCGATAAAATATTTTCACGTTTACAATAGACGTTATGAAGTAAATGCTTCTCAATTTGTTTACCCCTGACTGAAGACGGTTTCATCTTTATGGTTCTATG